AAAGCTATATCAAGATTTAAAATTCAGCCAGGTGCCTGTATAATTCTAGCTGCTCAGGAGGCTGAGATCTAAGGATTGTGGTTTGAAGCCAACTAGGATAAGAAAGTCTGTGAGACCCTTATCTACAACTAACCACCCTAATAAAGTCATTCCAGAGTTCATTTGGAATAATAAGTGGATGCAATTGCATACTTTAAAAATTAAAAGGTGAATAGGGTGCTGGTGGCTCATGCCTGTAATCCTAGCTACTAAGGAGGCTGAGATCTGAGGATCAAGGTTCAAAGCCAGCCCAGGCAAGAAAGTCCGTGAGACTCTTATCTCCAATAAACCACTCAGAAAACCGGAAGTGGTGCTGTGGCTCAAGTGGTAGAGCACTAGCCTTAAGCTGAAGAGCTGAGGGACAGAGCCCAGGCCCAGAGTTCAAACTCCACAACTGACCAAATAAATAAATAAAATGTGACATGGGGCACTGGTGGCTCACACCTTTAATCCTAGCTACTAGGAGGCTGAGATCTGAGGATCACTTAGCCTGGGCAGGATAGTTCATGAGACCTTATCTCCAATTAACCACCAAAAAGCCAAAAGTGGAGCTGTGGCTCAAGTGGTAGAATGCTAGCCTTGAGCAAAAAGACTCAGGAACAGTGCTTAGATCCTGAGTTTAAGCCCCAGGATTGACACACACAAAAAAAAAAGATGAAATTTTTATAGTCAAATATTAGAAACAACTATGATACAGTAATAGATGGAATGATGCTAGTACAAGAAATAAATCAATGTACAACTGGGAAGCCCAGAAATTGACCCAAGATGTTTAACATATAACTAATGTGCATGTAAAGTCAGTGAAAGGAATAGGTCAAACCAGATAGTGCCAAAATAACTAATTTATTAAATTTTTACTCTTTAAGATAAAAATTAAAATAAAGTTAGATAGCTTTATCTTAAACCACACACTAATTATGAATTAATGAACTAAAGTTTTAGGACACTTATTTTAATAGATAGGTTAAAAATAGAAACAATAAAGAAAGATTGCGGATAAGGAAGAGAATAGTGATTTATCTCATTAATTTATCACTGTTGCACAGTTTAACACATTGCTCCATTATCTCTGTTTCCATCAGAATTCTGTTGTGCAAATCTCTAAAATGATTGCCTAATCATGTGGGATGGCTATGACTATGAATATACTTCTTATGTGAGGAATTATAACTATCTAGATATATATATATATATATATATATATATATATATATTTGGGGGGGGGGGGTCCAGTCGTGGGGCCTGAACTCTGGGGCTGGGCGCTGTCCCTCAGCTCTTTAGCTCAAGGCTAGCGCTCTACCACTTGAGCCACAGCGCCACTTCCAGCTTTTTTCTTTTTGCTTATGTGGTGCTGAGGAATCCAACCCAGGGCCTCATGCATGCAAGGCAAGCGCTCTACCACTGATCCACCTTCCCAGCCCGTCTAGTTATATTTTAAATAATACATAGTAAACAGTGTTTAAAAGCTGAGTTCACAACACTATAGAGAATGGAAAATGTTTGATGACTCTCTCCCAAAATACTTGTGTTGATGTTGTTGTTTATTTTCTGGCAGTTTTTGTACACAGTTTTTGTCTTCAAGCTTATAATCTATAGACCAACAAGTAAACAGGCAGTGCAAGAACTACCATACTAGAGAACCATAGAAGAAGATGGCCTGATTTATTGGAGATAATACAGGAATTTCAATATAGGAAAATTCACTTGCTGTTGAAGTACCTAATGTCTGAAACTAAGTGGTCTCATTTTTCCAAAGCATGGGAGAAAGAAAATTTTTGTGATACTAGTATTGATGGAAGTGAATGAAAAAGAGTTGGGCATGGTTGTACATCCTTATAAATCCCAGCACATAGAGAATTGCAAGTTCAAGGCTAGCCTGGGTAACATAGCATGACCCTGTCTCAAAACAAAAAGCAGTAGAAAACTCTTTCCAACTAATGTCATAAAGTCAGCCTATTAAATAGAATTTGTCTGGCATCTTTAATGGCAGAAAGATGGCAAGCAATCAAAGCAGATAATGTATAGTACTTTGCAAAATCTAGCCTTACGGCTCCAAAAAATTTCTTAAAAAAAAAATGCTTTTTATTTAGGTCTCCATGTTGTGCCCTGATTAGTAAGACTGAAGACTTCTACCAACTCCCTCACCCCATATGACAGCTCCTCAATCTGCTGAGACAAATATATACATCAGACTCTTTCTTGGTTGATTCACCTAAAGGGAAAAATATGAGTCCTTAAGACTGAGTACTTCCTCAGTTCACCAAAAGGAAATGAAAAACCTAGATTGAAATCATGGTCCAGATATATACATAGGTACTTGTTGGATGATGTTTAAGATGTGCCAGATGGGTGGGGGAGATTGAGCTAAGTAGTCAGTAAACAGTGCTGCTATTGGCATTCCAGGTATGCCTGTCCTATATGAGCACATGTCTGACAGCTGAGCCAGATTCCTAAACTCCAGTGCTCCATTTTGCAATTTAGAAGCATTATATACCACAGAAAGATTTCTGTGAAAGACATCTGATAACTAGGGCTCTTTAGCAAGGTTTAAGGCATCAATAATGGTCTTTAAACAATAACAATGTATGTTTTCTCTTGATATTTTCTGTGGATGTAATGCTTTCTGCAGTTCAAGTGGTAAGCTTTGACTTGTCTGCCCTCTACTGGAGATCTGTGCTGCTAAATACCACTGTCCTTTAGTTTTTCCATTCAAGGATGGCATTCTACCAGTTGAGCCACATCTTTACTTCTGGTTCTTTACTGGCTAATTAGAGATAAGAATCTAACCAACTTTGCTGCCTGGGCTGGTTTTGAACTGTGATCCTCAGATTTCATCTCCCTGAGTAGCCAGAATTATAGGTGTGAGCCACCAGAGCCAGGCTTATGTATTAATTTTTAATAGAAAAAATGTAGTGGAGCCAGGCGCCGGTGGTTCACACCTGTAATCCTAGCTACTCAGGAGTCTGGGATCTGAGGATCAAGGTTCAAAGCCAGCCAGGGCAGGGAAGTCCATGAGACTCTTACCTCCAATTACCCACCAGAAAACCAGAAGTGGCGCTGTGGCTCAAGTGGTAGAGCCTAGCCTGGAGCTGAAGAGCTATGGGAAGGCCCAGAGTTCAAGCCCCACGACTGACAAAAAAAAAAAAAAAAAAAATCACTAGATGGTACACTCAAGATTGTATGTTTCATTGTTTATATGTTTTACTTTTAAAAAATAAATACTGCTGTGTATGCCAAGTAGGGCAAAAGTGATGGTAAAAACAAATATGAAATGTCAAGAAGCAAGTTTAAAGAGAAAGCTTCTCAGTGTCATTAACTCTATCATCTTTTCTACTTCTCTTTCATATCAATTTTTTTGTCTCTGTGGAGATAGGTATAATATATAATATGTACTAGTTTCTAAACTAGGCCACAGAGAAGTAAATGATATGATTTCTAGTGAATTGGAAGGTAGTATATTATTTAATTAATTCTAGCTTCACTTATATGCAGTTTCCTTGGATAACTTAATTTCTTTTGCAAATTTTTTTTTCTTCACCTGTAAAACAGTCATTGAGTCTAAGCTGTCATAACTTATAGACTTCTTAGAGCTGGCCATGTCTGTGTACACCTGTAACCCCAATAATTGGAGGCAGGAGGATTTAAGGCCAGCCTAGGCTAGATAATAGTAAAACTCAAGAAAAACAGACAGACATTTTAAACAGGGAAAAAAGACTTAAATTTATGTGCCACCATAAAAAAAAGAAATATTGCAGTTAAACTATGGTTCAGGGCTGGGGGTATGGCTCAAATGGTAGAATACCTGCCAACCAAACCTAGGGTCCTGAATTCAAACATCAATACCACACAAAAAATAACTGTGATTAAGTGCTTTTTTTATTATATTGATTTATCATTTTTGTGTGTTAATTAAAATTATTAAAATTCCTCTGAGTTTATAATGTACTTATATGGTGTATACAGTGCCTGATACGTTTTAAGCACTTAGAAAATTATGTTTAAGGTGCTGATGATTTTTATCTTGAGTACTTGAAAGTCATGCTCATTGTTTAGGTTAATGTTTAGGGAATCTGGATCATAAGCCATTTTATGATATTTATTGGTAATAGTCTGAATGCCTACGTTTTCTTTTCTTTTTTTCCTAATACTAGTATTGGGACTTGAACTCAGGGCTTGGATGCTGTTCCTGAGCTTTTTTGCTCAAGGCTAGCTCTCTTGAGAGCTTGAGCCACAGCTCCATTTCTGGCTTTTTGGTGATTAATTGGAGATAAGAGTCTCACAGATTTTTCTACCTGGGGCTGGCTTCAAGCCATGATACTCAGATCTCAGCCACCTGAGTAGTTAAGATTATAGGTGTGAGCCACTGGTACCCATCAGTTCCCACTTATTTTAAAGTTAAGATCATATAACAGCACACAACATGTTGGTTTTCAGAGCCAATTGTTTTCATATGTAACATTTTGTTATCAATGAAATTTGTTTGTAAACTGCTCTTGATATTTTCTTTTTTTTTCTTTTTTGTCAGTCATGGGGCTTGAACTTTGGGCTTGGGAGCTTTCCTTGCACTATTCAGCTCAAAGTGAGCACTCTAGCACTTGAGCCACAGTGCCATTTCTGGTTTTCTGATGGTTTATTGGAGATAAGAGTCTCACAGACTTTCCTGCCCGGGCTGGCTTTGAACTGCGATCCTCAGATCCCAGCCTCCTGAGTAACTAGTATTACAGGCGTGAGCCACTGGCACCCAGCTGCTGTTGATATTTTCTCTAGGAATAAGTTCTGTTTCAACCTCCTGATGTAACAAATCATTTTTAATAAAGAATTTTTAGTTTAAATGCACAGCAACATGAATGAGATATTTCTATATATAAAGTTCAGTAAAATTTCATTGGTGATATTGTGATATGAGACTTAGTTTTAATTTTTTCTTTTTCTTTTTTGTTTATTTTCTGTTTATACAGGAGGCAGACAGTGGGGAAGAAGAATGCCGGTCACAGCCCAGGAGGTTTGTCATATATCCTACAGCATTTTTATAGTTATTGATTTTTCTCTCTAAATCTTTAGTTTTATTAGATGTTTATCTATTTCCACTGATCTTTCAAAAACTGGAACTACTTTAAGAATTAAGTTACTTGGAATTTTCTTTTATTTGGAACAAGTAAACAAGCCATTTGTATACTGTGAACATTCATCTTTTACTGAAGCTCTGATGAATGTTGCTCTGCCTCATTGGAAAAGATACTGAATTCCTTTCAGGGGCCAGTCATTTTGCTCAATGCAAAATGATGATGATGATGATGATGATGATGATGATGATGATGATGATGATAACAATCTGGGGAGAAAAATAAAAGCATCATTATTACAGTGACTCCCACCTGTAATAATTCCAGCCAGGAAGAAGATGGGGGAGGATCCTCGTTGGAGGCTAGCCTAGACAAAGAGGTAGTGACACCCAATCTCAATCAATAAACTGGGTAGGGTTGCATCTATTTATGACCCCAGCAATGTGGGTAGGAAGATTGCCCCCAGCAAGAACGCTGCATCTCACCTGAGAAATAATGAAAGCTTAGCAAGCACAAGGCTCATGAGCTCACACTCAGTAGTACCAGAAGGTGGAGGTGGGGAATTCAAATTGTTCAAAAGGACTTTAAATGGTAGAATATTTTCAAAAGATGCAGAAAGGCTAATTTTGTCTGTTTTCAACAATCTCTGAGGAAAAAAAGCAAATTTTTCTTACCTTTTAGGAAAATATCAACTGAAGAATATGTTACCCTTCAGTTTTATACATGTTTATCATTCATTTTGTTGTTTCAAGGGTGCCAATGATTCCTGCCATTGAAAGAAAATTATGAGAGAAATCTAGGAAGTGTAAAATTAACATTTTTGGAGCCAAGTGGTAGAGCACTTTCCTGGCATGTGTAGGTTCAGTCCCAGCACCACAAAACAATGATACATTTCTGTCATGCCATTTAAATGTTTTTATTTCCTTCTTTCCTTTCCTCTCTCCTTCCTTCCTCTTTTTCTTTTTTGAAACAGGGTTTCTGTATGTAGCCCAACATAATTTACATAGTTTTAAAAAGCAACTTCCAGCTGAATGTGGTGGTGTATACCTATTATCCAAGCATTCAGGAGACTGAGGCAGAAAGGTCTTAAGTTTGAAGCCAATAGTGAGACTCTATCCCAAACAAAACAAAACAAAAAAGTTACTGTCTCACAAAAGAAATATCCCTGGAAGTCCTATGTCACAAAAGAAATAGCCCTGGAAGTCCTATGGTCATTTAAATACAAAGCAAATTAATATCCTCTGAATCCAATGAAATGCGACATTCTGAATGGCATACAGAATGGATACAATGAGAATGCTCATTATAAAGTGGCTAGCTAAAGGAAATGCTTCCTTAATGTTTAGTTAGCAGATATTTGTTAATCCATATCCTCCTCTTCTAGACTACAACTGGAAAAAAATACTTCCTTTTCTAAACTAGTACAGCTATTCTGGACTGCAGTCTAGAAGTTCCTCAAAAAACTACATATAGGGGTTTAAGGGGTGGCTCAGTTGGTTTAGAGTGCTAGCCAATGAGCCAAAGTGTCAGGTACCCAGTTCGAGTACTGGTCTCCCATGTAAAAACAGCAGGAAAACTAAGTATAGATCTTCCCTGTGACCCAGCTATACCACTCCTGGCCATCTACTCCTGGCCATCACAAGCCAGGAAACTGTAAAGACACTTGGACATCTGCTTGCCTTGCATGCATGAGGCCCTGGGTTTGATTCCTCAGCACCACACAAGCAGAAAAGGCTGGAAGAGGCATTGTGGCTCAAGTGGTAGAGCATTAACCTTGACCTGAAGAGCTGAGGGACAGCACCCAGGCCCAGAGTTCAAGCCCCACGACCGACAAAAAAAAAAAGACATTTGCACATCCATGTTCATTGCTGCAGTGTTCACAATAGCCAAATTATAGAGACAGCCCAGATTCCCTACAGTAGATAAGTGGATCAAAAAATGTGTTACCTAAGCCAGGCACCGGTGGCTCACGCCTGTAATCCTAGCTACTCAGGATGCTGAGTTCTGAGAATCACGGTTCAAAGCCAGCCTGGGCAGGAAAGTCCAATTAACCACCAGAAAACTGAAAGTGGCTCTGTGGCTCAAGTGGTAGAGTGCTAGCCTTGAGCTGAAGAGCTCAGGGACAGAGCCCAGGCCCAGAATTCAAGTCCCATAACAACAACAAAAAAAAAGTGGTACCTATACACAATGGATTTTACACAGCCATTAAAAAGAATAATATTATACCAATTGCGGGGAATTTGATGGACCTAGAACAAATCATGTTGTGAGGTAAGCCATGCTCAGAGACCCAAAGGGCACATTTTTTTTCATATGTGGAACCTAGATCTAAAATACATTGCAACATGATAAATTATACAGGACTCTAGGCATTCACCCACAGGGAGACCAAAAGAGGATACTTTTAGCAGAGGAACACAGAGGTGCAATGCTTTATGTGCTTCTGCTCATATGAAATAATATTTATCGAAATGAACTCCAGGAAATGAGAACAAGAGATTTTTCTCTGTTGCTTTTTTTTTTGTTTTCTTTTTGTCTTGTTTATCTATTTTGTCTTGTTTGTTTGTCTATTTTGGGGAAGGTAAGAGGGGCACAGAAATAGAGGGACAAATGGTGAACAATTGTAGTAGTGGTACTAACTAAACACTAAGTTGAAAATGAACTATACAACTTGGGGGTGGGGAAAAGAAGGAGGGAAAAGACAGAAAGGGAAGTGGTGACACTGTCCAAAAAGAAATGTACTCTTTGCCTGACATATGTAACTGTAACCCTTCTATACATCACCTTTATAATAAGAATTTTAAAAACTTTTTAAATACTTCCTCTTCACCAATAACCAAGATTATTGATAATATTTTTTCAGTCTTGTCACATAAATTTTGATTTAAAGTTTACTTTCTCATTTTCTATTAGGGAAGATCTGGCAGTAAAATCTTATTTGATATAGGCTTAAGAGGTAGAAACAACCAAAATTTTACCAAGCATCCTAATCATATTTTTATGAGAATGAAGAAAGAATTCCAAAGGAGTCTTAGTTTCTTACTAGGCCAAACTTAAATGTCTCTGCATTAATTTCAAGTTTTATGTTTTGTCTTGTCATCCCTTGGAACTTTTTCTGAAAAGTTACACAATGATGAAGCAATGAAAATGTTCTCTTATTCATAGCACTGAACTGACAAGCTAAAGGATGTTTTTGAAAATTGTTGACAGTAATTCAATAATATAATAAGCAGAGGACTTTTACAAGAAAAGGATTGCTATAAAAATTAGAAATAAAAACCTACTAGCACCCATTTTATATATTCAATTTCTTGTATTCAATGTATTTAGTCAGACTCAAAGAAATGCTTTTACCTAGCAATTGAATGCCCCTTGTAGCTAAATAGTGTGTAAGAAGATGGATTTTTTTGTATATATTTGACCATTGATGATCATACTGACATTCATATCACTTACTACAGAATAAACCAGAACTGAGTCTTTTCATTAGACATGCCAGGACTCATTTTGTCAGTTTGTGGGCTCAAATGTGATTTGTAACAGGAAATTGAATAGTAGGAAGAATGTTAGAACTAAAAAGCCAGCTGAATTTTTTTAAAAAGCTCTGATAATTTCCTATTTTAACTAAATATTATTTATTGGGAAAATTATATGTTAAATATAATCTGTTAATATGATTATATCAAATTTGATGCCTTTGAAAACCAGTGTTCACAAGCAGCAATGACAAGAACAAAACTGATAAATTAAGCTACATTAAATTTTTAAGTTTCCCAACAAGAAATGTACTCATTACCTTACTCATGTAACTGTAAACCCTCTGTATAGCATCTTTACAATAAAATAATTTTTTAAATTAAGTTTTTACCAGAAAACTGGAAGTGGTGCTGTGGCTTAAGTGGTAGAGCGCTAGCCTTGGGCTGAAGAGCTGAGGGACAGCGCCCAGGCCCAGAGTTCAAGCCCCATGACCAACAACAACAAAAAAATAAGATTCTGTCCATCAAAGGACACAATCAACAAAGTACTACAAAATGGGAGAAAATCATATAGCTGACAAGACTCATATATGATATATACCATATATCATATACATATACATATATTTATACATACATTATCACTTGAGCTACAGTTCCATTTCTGACTTCTTGTTGATTAACTGGTGATAAGAATCTGACAGACTTTCCTGCCTGGGCTGGCTTCGAATTATGATTCTCAGATCCCAGCCTCCTGAGTATCTAGGATTACAGGTATAAGCCATTGGCACCCAGCTTTATTTTTTATTTATTTTATTTTATTTTTAGTTTTTAAGACTAGTTTCTTTCTCTTGAGTTATTTTTCATGGGCATAAAGAAGTACTTACCATCTGCTGGAACAGTACTACATCTTTGAAAACTTGATCTTCTCCAAGGTGCTTTAAACATAGCAGTGAAAACAAAATTTACAGTAGAGTGGAAAGAGAGAGAGCAATGTGTGCCAGAAGTGTCTCAGAAAAACTCTTGGAAAAGTTTTGGTCTTGCAAGAGTGGAATTTATATATAGGAGAACAGAAGAAAAGGGAGGAGGGCGGGAAAGTATATGAGTATCTTAAGAAGTTTAGAAGCAGGTGCTAATGTACTTAGAGCCAGTAAGAAAACAATTGTCTATTTCTTAAAAACAGAGTTCTGATTTGGTAGACTTATGTTTATTGTGAGAGCCATAAAGAGAGTTTACCAGTGCCATAGGATATGAGGGGATGGAAGGAAAACTATTTAGAAAACTGTTGGAGTAGGCAAATGGCTAGTCCTCATCTGAGAGTAGTTTGAGGACAGGGACTGCATCTTACCTGGTATCCACAGACACTCAGAAAATGATGAATTATTAAATGAAGCAGAACTTACATGTATTTAAAACTGGCAATAAGAGCCAAGAGCATGGCTCAACTACTGCCAAACAAGTAC